GCCATGCCAGGCCTGGGCCCTACAATAATAATATATGGCATACACAGAATTCTACACTTCTAAGTGTAGAATTCTGTGATGGCATACTAACATCCTTGGACTTGAGCCTGGCCAGGCAAGTGTGACGGCCAAGGGCAGAGCACTCGCATGGCGTGGCCTTGCTTTCAATTCGTTTTTGAATCATCTTGGATGATCTTGGGCCAACGGCCAAAGTGTCCGGCGTCCAGCGTCCAGCGTTTTCCTCCCTGCTGCAAGCTGCATTATTGTTAGGCCTTCGTTATTATTAGGAGTGGGAGGCTGTGCTGCTGTGTGAACGCCTCTAGTCGATAAATTAAAGAACCCACCATGCCGCACTTCCCAACCAAAAGACATCATGTCAATGAAGACCTGTTCGAGTGGAGAGTGCCGAAAGTCGGTAAATTTGATGATAATAATAGAGTCGATGAGACCAGACCAGGGCTCCGGGAGCAGGTGAGTGATTGTCCGTCTGTCTTGGTGTTCTCCATTTTCTACTCCAGTAAAGTTCTGGATCTATATCTAGATTTAGAATCTAGAGGTCAAGTAGAGATAATAATTTTAATGTAGCTGGCAATTGAACATTCCCGCGCTTAAAATTCCGATTTTATTAAATTATGCTTTTTTTCAGGGTTAGGGTCAGGGTTAGGATTAGAGACCAGTGAAACATGCCTGAGGCTATGAAAAATGCAAGTCGGAATTAAAAACGGGAATCTTAACAATTGCCAACCTATTTTCGGGTTAGAAGAAGACAGGGCTTGAAATCTAAGAGAAGGCAAGGCTCGGCAAGATGTATTAAAGGCTCAGAGAAATTCGCGCCCGCAACCCGCAAGTTGCGCACGCAACTTTTGCCCTCAGCGCAACTTTCGCGCAACTTTTACCATTTTGGTGAATTCGCGAATTTTAGCCAATTTCCCGCAAAATTTGGGAAAATAATAGATCTAGAAATCTAGATTAGTAAAATTTCATTTAAACACATATTTTCTTCCGCGACTAAAAATAACGATGCCAAAGGCCAAAGGGGACAATTTGCTCCTTTGCACAACGGGGTGCCCGCCGCCGCCCGGTGACCCGGGCCGGGTCGGGTCAGTATGATAGCCCGACTCGTCGCCTGTAAACGTGTTTGTTTTGAAACGAGTCGGGCGCGATCGACTTGTACCACGATAGCCGCTTTGCACCATCAATCTGGCGAGCAAACCGACCCAATAGTCTTGTTTGGACAGAATCATCTTGTAGTCTAGCTAAATCTAGATTAAATCAATCGTTAACACGGTCGTCTGATTATTTAGCTTGCTTGGTTCCGTAGCACCAGGTAGTTAGATCTAGATCTAGTATAAAAATTTGTGAAAGACTTTAAATCTTAGGCTAAGAGGCTAGGTCCAGACTTGGATCGATTCATCCAGAAAACCATTAAAGGGGACGTTCAAATAAAAGCATCTTGCGCCTGGAAAGGGTGGGGG